ACTTGGTAAATACTTGATGTGAGGATTTGCAGATGTGACGTTCCTCTTCTGAACAGGTCCAAAAAGTCTGTTCGTGAAAACTTCGATTTGTTTGTCCAAATGTTTCACGGCACTGTGAAGGACACGAATATATGTTTTAGATGTCTGACAAGGACTCAAAGTTTATCACTTTTTATTGCCTGTGATGACAGAGCATACGTGGGGCCAAATTGTTGTTACAAATAATCTCTGGTGTTTGTTTACCTTCCCTGGGAGTGCCAGATGGGTGGAGCACAAATGTGAAGCTTTTCTATCACAGCAAAGAGAAGTAACCATCACTGACTTTACAACAGTTTCCTTTGACCGGCAGGAGTGTTAGCAAGTACACACACGTGGCATTAAGTAAGACAAATCAAACAAAGAGTACATATGTAAATAGAAACTGTCCCTGGTCTGATTTAAGGTGGTAAAGTCAGATGTTGCTTTATGTCTCTCCACTCTGATGTTAACTGTGATCTGATGTAAACACACTCATCATCTCACCCTGAACACCGTTTGTTTCCGTTGTTGACGTCCGATCATCCATCCAGGTTCCTCGTTGTTTTTATGATGCATATGTGAATATATTTATTGCTGACTTTCTGTGCCAAATGTTTGTGAGGGTTTTTGCCAAATTGTTGAAACATTTCTGATGAGCTGTACATAATAAATCAGAATCTTAAGAAAGAGAGTGGTGGTTGGAGCTGCAGGTTGATAATCAATGTTAGAGGTAAACCAGTCACCTAAAGCCATGTCACTCTGTGAGGATGAAACACTAAATATCATGGGAGGCTCTACGCTGTCGACTTTTCAAAACCTGGAAAGAAACAAAGTCGTGGTAACGAAAAGAAATGAATGTGATTGAGACACAAATGTGTGTTTGCAAATGTCATGTCAAATAAAAAAAAGTAGTAAAATAATGGGGACATTTTCCTGATACTGAGATACAGACTTGTCTTAAATCATCTTCTGGTTGTCTCTTTACATTATCTTTTGGGCTGAACAGTATGAAATGTTTATTGTACGTGAGCAGCAATATTTGAAAATCTTACATGATTTGTGCATCAATGTGATGAGTATTTTTTGTGAATTTTGTGATTTGTCAGGTGCTTAAATGACTGGATTCCTAACAAAAAGGGCTGCGACTAAAAATAATTTCAATGTCAAGTTTGATTACACTTTCAAAAAACTGAGAAGTTGTGAATTGTGCCTCTCACAATTTTCCAGAGCCCAAGGTGACATCTTCAAACAGCTTTTTTGTTTCATTTGTCTTGCTGTTCAACAGCCTAATATATCTAATTTAAAGAGATATTGGTTTAAAGAACCTAAAAGGAATTCTTCAATCCCAATTTGTATATCCATACTCATCATGTGTTAAGTTCAATTTGTGAAGAAAATTTAGTTCTTCTGGTGTTCCTCTCCAGTGAACGAAGAATTCAAAAGGCAAAAATTCCAGCTGAATTGAACTGAAGGGTGTCTACATTTAGCAACAGCAAAACCCCATCAAAACATCCGTTTACAAACTCTCACACAACTCGTAGTATAATCCAAACTTCATTTGTATGATCAGTACTTCCCGAACACATGCATTTTAACTTACTTACTATTTAAAACACATCACAACAAAAAGTGCAGGCGTGTTACCTGTCGTGCCTGGGGAAGTGTTTTAAATAGTGAACTCTTAGCCATGGGCGGATTATGAAACAATGAGTCCTCTGGGCACAGATACACAAAAGGCCCCACCTCCTCTCCTACACAGGAGCAAGACACACAGACTTTGTGTCTCTTTGTGGTCATTTTGTGCATTTCAGGTTGTTTTTGTACTTATTTTGCATCACTCTGTGGCCTTTTGGTGTCTCTTGGAATCTCTTCCCAAGGACTGTACCACAAAGCAAGTTCACCAGAGCCAGGCTGTCTTTGCCTGAGCTGGTTCGATGAACCCTAAAGCCTTGGGGATAACGGGGCTACAACTTGGGACAACTTGTTTGTTTGCTTGCTTTCTTTCTCGACCTTTGTGTGTTCTCCCATAAAACGAGTGAAATGACGTGGTCAACGAGTCATTTCACTGATCTTAAAATTGCTTCTTACGCCATTGACCAATATTACATGACCAAAAAAGCATTACACAAAAAGCAATGCTGTTGCTTCAGTTAAGCCAAGAGAGGAGTGCTTGCATTAATATGACTAATCGTGCAAACTCACAGGTGAATATGTAATTTAGCTAATAAAATTTAAACTTGATGCAGCAGATTTACATGCTATACCCAAAATGAAATGAAATTCTACTGATTGAATAGGCTGTTTTCTGTGATGAATACCAATAAACTAATCAATTTTCTAGTCAGTGTTTTATCAGCTGTAAAAAAAAAAACAAAAAAAAAAAACAGCCGTGTAAAACAGATTTTGGCAAATGAGGTGCATAAAGTGGAAACGTTATGATGGTTTGAAGGAATTATATGACATTTCATATGCATATAAACATCTTCCAGATTGATATATATAGTGAACTGTTAATGTATAATGCTACCTGTGATTTTAAAGATGGCTTCTTAAAGAGCCAGCATGGACAGATGGACCAGAGAACACACACATATTCAGTAGTTCAGTGAGAGCAACAACCTTGCAAATAAAATAAAACAATGTTCTAACTCAGATTTTCTGCATCAGTGATGGAGTGTAGGTACCTGTATAAAAGAATGCGACGTGATGCATACACTAAGCACTACTGTAACTGCACGACTTCATTTGGGGGCATATATGTAACAATACGGCCACAGAAACAGAATGACTGTCATCCTATTTTTATGGTTATGGCTCAACAAGTTGGATAAAGTGCATTTATAATGTATTCCCTCAGCTGACAGTCTGTATCGCTCATATATTGAATAGAGTGTGGTGCTCTTTACTGGAACAATAAGGACGCTTTTTAGCTGATTACAAGCAAAAACGTTTAATATTACCTTGTAGGTAAGTTCTGTAGCATAAGTTACCATGGAGATCTAGCCAGGCTAAGGGAGTGCGACCTTTGTAGAAAACTCTGGATCTAGGCTTGACACACCTCACTTAGACACTAATCTTGCTTCATGGTAAACCCTCTGATTAGTAGGTGTTAATTTGAGTGACATTTTGCAGGTGAAGGCCAGAGGGGGTCCCTCACACTTTGGGGCCCCTGGGCCTGTGCCCAGTAGGCCTGTTAAATAATCCGTCCATGGTTTTAACAGAAATGCATGTGTTGGGGAAGTACTGAGCACACAACTGGATAAATGTCACTTATGTCACACTGCACGAGTTGTGTGAGAGTTTGCAAACACACGTTTTGATATAGTTTTGCTGTTGTTACATGCAGCCTCCCTTTAGTTCAGTTCATCAAGAATGTTCTAACCCATGGGAAGACAAAAATAAACTTCAGGCACTCATGCATGGAGCAGGAACAAATGTACTTCAATGAAGTTAAAAAGCCTTTATCAAATAAAACATGGCTGCTTACATTAAAACACTGAACAGTTTTGCCCCCATGGCGATCCTAATGAGTGCCTGAAGTCTATTTTTTCTTCCGATGTGCTAACCCTTTTCTTCAAAAGCACCTGCATTTTCCTCCAGCACAACGCTACTTTGTTCTAACCCATTTTTGGATTCTTCGTTCACCATTAAGGCACTGGAGAAAAACTGTTCTTCACAAATTCAATGTAACAGAGGGTGAGTAATTCATAAACAGATGGTTAATTAGGGTTTAAGTATTCCCTTAGGTATTTTTTTAATAATCAACTTTAATAATTCATCGATAGATAAAATTGTCACCAAATAATTTCTGGTTAATCAACTTATTGAGTAATTTAACAATTGTTTTAGCTGTAGTCATGAAAAAAATCCTGTCTGGTTCTCAAGTCATTTTCAGAAAAGTAACTGTATTCTTATACATATGGTTTGATAAAACTACATGTATATCGAGATGGGAGATGTTTATCCATACTGCTCACTATGTTTCTTCCTTATGACTGGTGCGTCACCTGCATAGGTGCATGATTTCAAAGCTTTTGCTTGATTAGACCTCTTCTCTGTGTTTGATCGACATCTCCCTGACTCTCCTGTGACCTTTACAGCACCTGAAGTCACACTTTTATCATGTAATGTACATGTAGTCCTGGGACCTCCTGTCATTCCCAGTATACAGTAGCTCCGATCAACTTTAACCTCAGCAGACATCTAATCAGGTAGAAACTGAACATGGCTGTGAGGGGCCATGAGAGCAGAGTCACCGAACTGTATATCACGATATGTAAGAACATCTCTGTGGGCCCTTTTCACAGCAGACACACACAGGAGGAAAAGTTCAGGTGTAAACTAGGGCTGGGCAATATATCTATATTATATCGATATCATGATATGAGACCAGATATCATCTTAGATTTTGGATTTAAGTGTTTCTGGTTTCAAAGGCTGCATTACAGTAAAGTGATATAATTTTCTGAACTTGCCGGACTCATACCCACATAACTGATCGTTATTTGTGAAAAATCTCATTGTGTAAGTAACTTGTGGAAGCAGCAACAGTCAACCCTACAATATCGATAGTATTTCATCAAAAATATTGTGATATTTGATTTTATCCATGTCACCCAACCCTAGAGTAAATAATAAAAGTGAATAAATGGTTGAATTCCATTTAGCTGCTTCAGTTTCAGGGTCCTGGTATTATTCATGCTGTACATCTTAACTTCCATCCTTAATGTTATTAGTAGCACCTGTGTTGTTCCTACTTTGACGACTCAAAATGTCAGCTGTGAAAAAGGTCTATATTTACACCAAAACAATCCTGCTGAAACAGTAAAGATACTCAATGTACCCAGCCCTACTCACCCACATACATGTGTGTGTACTGTACGTACGACCACTCACATTGACTCCACTGCAGCATCCACAAGAACAAAAACAAAAAACAAAACTCAAAAGGTAACAAATCTGGACACAACTGGACACCAAGATGGAAATAAAGCAAAGTCCTCTAATGTGCCTCTTTATTTAAAGAAAATAAAAATGTCATTTAATCATCCTCCCAGGCCAAACAAGGTTTTTGCACCTCCAGTCAGTTCACTCTCTTTTGGGGATAGACGTGTACTGTAGCAGAAGAAAAGGCTGATGCTGTTTGTACAAGGAGAAGAGCTTGTCTTGTTGGGTGCTGCTCACACATTCATAGTGCCTGTGCCATTGGGTATGGCTCCAAAGGACCAAAGAATTACTAATATTGCACGCTCTCATTTATTCATCTCCATTCTAAACATGCTTTCCTATGTGTGTATGTATACATATTTACCGTATACATACATAGGTATGTACACCTAGGCACACACATAATTAAACATGTATAATTGTACATATATATTTATATAGACCTATAAATTTACATGTACATACATTTATAAAATTTTACACACAACGCACACTCACCCTTGCACACACGCACGCACACACACACACACAATGCGTCTGTGAGTCTATGTTTGTCTTATGTACACATGCGCACAGGCACGCACATCAGTACAGATCTCAGACACACTTCATATCGAAAAAACGTTGGTTCCTATTAAAACAACACCAGGTTGCAATTTGGACACTTTCAATGGATTTCCAATGTTTGTTTAAAGCTGTGAAATTCAAAAAAAAAAAAAAACAAAACAAAATAAAATAAAATAAAATTAAAAAGGAGGAAAAATAAAACCAACAGAAGAAAAAAAAAGGCATGGCGCTGCAACATCTGGTCTTCACTGCAGGTAAGTGGTTAATTTGCATAATGTATACAGGTTTTTAGGATTTTTTCCCTATTTTTTTATTTTTTACTAAACAGCATTTCCTTTTTTTTATAAACCAGAAAAAACTAAACTCTACAGAGAAAGTCCCCTACCCGCAGTCTTCCGCTGCTGATAGAGATTGACATCAAGCTGTACAGCGCAGTCGAAAACATACTTACATCTGAGCTCATTTACAGGTACAGCCATAATCAAGGCACAAAGATCTACAAGTAGATTTGTTTTTCTTTCAATTAAGTTGTACAAAATAATATTACATTTTACAGTCTGTACAGGATAATTCAACCTTGCACAGTGTACAAGTTAACAAAAAAAACAAAACAAAACAAAAAAAAAAAAAGAAAGAAAAAAAATTAAAGAGAACAATACATTTTTCTCTCCCGTCCCTCCTCCCTCCCACCCACCCCTCCCATCAGTATCTCTAAGCTAAAAGGATGGTTTGTGTGGAAAAAGGAGGCAGGTCCGAGTCCGTGGAGGCAGCAGGGCTAAGGTGCAGAGAGCTCAGTCCCTTTTCCTTCATTTAAATCCTTCTTCTTCTTCTTCTTCTTCTTCTTCTTCTTCTTCTTCTTCTTCTTCGTGTATTTCCTGCCCCCCTCCCAATTTAATCTTTTGCTCCACACGTCCCTCGGCTGCTCGGTGCACCCTGCAGCTTGGCAAGCTAACATCGTGACAGGGTAATAAATATTGTGATGCTACATTGTGTGTATGCTTCCTCTGGAGAAAAAACAACAACAACAACAACAACAAAAAAAGTTATTAAGGAACCTGATGCAAAGTGCATTTATCTCTTCATCCACTCGGTTCCCCTCCGTCCACTCCCGTTCCTCTCCGGCGGCATCCAGTCGTCTTCCACGCGGAGAGGAGAAGCAGGTCAGAGGGGGTGACGGGGGCCAAAAAAGGAGGGGGGCAAAGGTCATGGTGGTGATGCCAGCTTTGACCGGCAGGTGACACACAGACATGAACAAACACGCATGCGCTCGCTCACATGGCATTCCTCCTTTTCTTCATTACACACACACATTAACACGCACACACACTGCCTCTACACTGAGGTCCTGTAGGTGTGTCTTTATGTATCCACACCCACCAGTCCAGGTCCAATGACAAAGCCAAAAAACAGGACACAAAAGGGGCAAAAAAAAAAGGAGGTAGCCCAAGGCTTAGTGGAATGACAAAAAAATCAAGGCATTCAAAAAGGAAGGATTAAAAGAAAAAGAAAAAAACAAGAAGCGGCACGCAACAACTTTGTTCCCCAACCTTCCTTTCACATCGGTGAAATGGGGATGAATCGGTCTCAGAGAGAGGAAAAAAAAAAAGTACAAAAAGCTAAGTTAAGAAGAGGAAGAGGATTTGACACACTTCAGTAGTACTTCATAGTCCTCGACAGGAGGGGTGGTCAGGGGGGTTCTTGAGGGTTTCTTTGGGGGAGGAGGGGTGAGGAGGAAGGGTGGAGGAGCAGGAGGAGGAGGAAGGGTTTGTCAAGGATGCAGAATGGTGGAGAAAAAACACAGAAGGCTGACGGAGGCGGTCTCCCATCACAAGAGTTCATACTGCCGCAGGTGCATTCTCTGGATGATGTCCCGGCAGTCGTTGAACACCCGCCGGATGTTCTCTGTGTCCACGGCGCAGGTGAAGTGGGGGTAGCAGTAATGTCTGCCGTCACCACTCGCAGTGCTGATCCGCTGGGGGCGGGAGATGGGAGAGAAGACATTAGAGAAAAATATAATCTGAGGCAGATTTAAGCTCCTCTTTTTGCCACTTTGGACCTTCAACTAGTCTCTGATTTCTTCTATCTTCAGGTGTGCTGCTCTGTGGTAGTTCCTGACCTTTGACCTTAATGAATCTTAAAAGTTCCCTTGCGTTAAAGTTTCAAATAAGACCACTTCCTGTCCCTTTACTAGCAGTACGTACTGATTTAACCAACCAACCATTTGAAAAAAAAAAACAAACTTCAGTATGCCAGTCTAACTCGCCTACTGTATCCCACAATGCAAAGTGCTTGCATCAACCAGCGGCAATGGCGGAGGAAAAAGCTTTTTTTAGGCAAGAATATAGCTTTTCATCTCCACATCTGTGATCCATGTCTAATACCTTCTTAATACTGCACTGTGGGTAGTGTGCAGTATGCAGTTGTGCATAGAGTAAAGCCTTTAAGTGAGACAAAACAAAATTCCATCTGCACGTCATCTGTCTGGACTGTGGCTTCACTTTGATAACAGACACTAGAAACTTCTGTTTTACTCACACACATTTCTGCTTTAAATCAGCTGACACCCATCAGGATGTCTGCTGTCGAGAGATGAAGTTTTCCTGTGATTAAAAAAAAGATTATTTCTTGGGAATATATCACCAGGATTCCTGGGATTTGTCGCCACAGATGAGGAGGACTGCCGATAACTAAACGTAAAATGATTTTCTAATGTTATTCTTTCATGCATGCTCGACCATATGATTTTTTTTCTAGTGTAACAACTCATTTAAGGAATACCCAATCTTTGAAGAGTGAACTCGTTTAGCAGCAGCACAGCATCTCTCCCTCTCCTCTCTCACTATGTGCACATGGGGTGTCGTCAAGTGATTTTATGATAAACCTTTGGTAATGTAAACCTATGTGACACTCACAGCTTGACGAAAAAGTACATATATGTGAATGTGAATGGAGAAATGGCAGAGAATAGGAGGTCCAGGTGGAAAAAAACCCCAACTATATCTTTTGGTATTTTGCTGAAAGACAAGGAAATCACCTGTTGATTTATATAAGAAAAGGGTCCCAGGGTAAACTTTTTTGTATTTGGGAGCTGTTTAAATGTGTAATTATAGTAGATTTCATTTTGTTGCACTATTAATATTGTGACAGAATCTGAATCTCAATCTGAGATACTGTCGTTGTTCACAAACTAAAGAAATTAGAGATAAATTTTGTATAGCTTTTACTGAATATTTGAAGGCAAACTGTAAAACTAAATCTCTTATTTTGTTGCAATTCTATTTTCTTAAATTAACTGTATATATATATATATATATATATATATTTCTTTTTTTAAACTAATTTGTCATATTGTCAAGAATATTCTTATCGCAAAAATACCCTGAAATACTGTGACATTAATTTAGGTCCATGTCACCCACCCCTAATCCAAACACAAATACAGTCATGCAGATTTCCCAGGATCTCACAGATATGCTGAGGATATTCCCGCTGTTCAACCCTCCTGCTGTCCCTACTACAAAGTGAGGTAACTGACCTCCACTGCCAAACAACTATGGCCCTATATTAGACCAAATTAATCTAATGTTGGTTATTAAGCTAAATCACTGCTGCTATTATTATTCTATTATAAAAGAAAACCATGAAGACACTGGAAAACTCATGAAGGGACAGAAGGGGAAGAAGAAGACTTGTGACAAACCAACCCAGTCACCAGAATAAATGTTGGCATTGTACGTGTCTGTGAGCCACAGGGGTAGGGGGTTTCATATGTAACAGATATGTAGAAACATTTTAGATTTCTGTTGTGACAATACTGTGATTAATGTGTGGTTAGGTTTAGGCACAAAAAGCACTTGGTTATGGTTAGGGGAACATCACATCTTGGCTTAAAATAACCTGTTTGGTCACCACAAACACACCTGGAAATGTCCAGACCTCTGGCTAAAAAATCCCCAATTCTGTTGTTTGTTGGCCTCAAACAATGATCTGCTTCTTGGTAGCCACCTCGCCTGGGTGTCACGCCATCTTTCTTCCGCTCCTCCTCCCTATGATTCCACTTATATACATCTAATCTGATCTACAACATTTTAAAAATGTTGATATAATATGTATGAAATGTACAAATGTAACATGGTTTGCAGAAGCGTACAATGCCATCATTTTATTCTGCCGATTGGGCTGAATAAACACCAGTCTTATATAAAAATAAAGGCTATTTTTCAATAAATGTGATTACAGTGAATGTCAGGGTTTATTCTTGACCTAAGAAACAGTATCAACATGTAACAGTAAAAAATTAACTCTACATCCGCTGACAAACACTGTAAGTAAGCTTGAGTTAAAATTATTTTGCAGGATACACAGCAACATGACTGGTTGCTAAACACCATTGATCTTCAGCAGACGCCTCGTCCTCATGAGAAGGTAACAATCAGCAGAAGTGTTTTATCAAGTTCAAAGCCACATAAGATGCACAATTGGCATTTGTGTTTCAGCAGCAATAAGCATAAAACACAGTTATGAATTAACAGGACGAGGCTATTCACGGCTCAACATTCATTAACCTCAGCTGACTTCAAACAGTCCACACACACAGCGGTATACTTACAAGAAACTCGTCTCGGATGAAGAACTTAGCTCTCGTCACTCTTGGGTCTTCACCAGGTTCAGGAGTTGCTAAAAGAATGACAGATTCACAGTTAAGCCTTGACTGATGTAAAGGGGAACTATGTTAGTAGTTAGTTGTGTAGTTCTTTGGGGCACAAACCTTCATTTGGTATGGTGTAGCGAGCATATTCGGGGAAGTAGTCTTCAATTTTGGATTTTCCAGCTAATACTTTCTCAGCCAGCATGTCCTGCTTGTTCAGGAATAATATGACCGATATAGTGCGTAACCATCTGAAAAACAACAACAAAACACCATTAAAGACACAGTATTGTTAGCACTGCATACAGAGTCAACACGGCTCCTAGTAAAGCAACAATTAACTAAATTAATGGATGTTTTGGCCTATTGGGAAGTAAAACAATTAGACCCCCTTTATTTAAATTCAAAAAAACAATGAACAGACTTGTACAGAAGTAATCCCTCTCAATCATCACTTATGACCCACTAGAGGAGTGTGGCAGTGTTTTTATCTGCCGTGACTATCTGTATTTGCTTATTTTCTATAGTTGGGCCGTTCATGTGTGTTTGCCCCCACAGCGCTCAGGTGTGGATGAGGCTTTGTAAAAAGGTAGCTACCAGGCGCCAGGCCATAAGACATACTCATCCAAGTGAATCTGGGGTTGGCCTTCACTTTGACTTCTGCCGGCGAGAGTGTTAACAAACACTAACCAATAATCCTGCATAGTACAACTTTAATTTGCTCAAAGACAGTCAAGAAAGGGGAATGCCAGTCAGTTCAGTTTCTATGATACATTCGGGTGTGTTGATGATAAAAGAGGTGCTTTTTTATTTGCATTTTTGGGGTTTGGGGTTTTTATGCTGTCATTAGAGACACATTACAGGAAATTAGAAGTGAGGAAGACGGGGAAGTTGCGGTTCACAGCCGGCTGTGTCACCCCTGAGCTCTCTAGGTTTCTTTAATGACCTCATCGACCTGTTCTAAGAGAAATTAAACTGGGAAATTCTGGTATACTTTTCATGCTATAGTCAAACTGGAACACTACCGGGTTTTTCAAATGACTGCTTTACACATTTATCTGTGGTACAACTGAAAAACAACTGTTTAAAATGATTCAATTAACATGATTTGTGAAACTGTGGCAGGTTTGGGCTTCTAGCCCACTACAGTCTGTATTTCTCAAATGTCTGCAGTGGAGGTGGTGAGTTGACTGTTACAATATACAGTAGTTAAAAAGGACAAACGACATAACTACCTAGGTTGACAAAAACAACTATCAGAGATTCAATTCTAATTTGAAGATTTAAAGTCTGTGTTCAGTTGCTTTAGGTTCATAAAGCAGAGTTTGACTTCACTAAACTCATATTCCTGGTTAAACCAAAAATATTCAACAATTTCTACAATCGGGCTTCCACCTCACCATCTATGTCGCCAATTTCCCATTTCCAAAATTTCGTAAGCATGGGTTCAAGTTTCTCCCATCAAGTTTGTTTTTACAGATCACAACTTTTGCGAGGGAGGTGGTGTACGCCTCTTTCCGGCCTCGCTTTGTGCGTATGCAATGTTTATAAATGAGACCCCAGAGGAGCAGTAAGCAAGACAAGAAAAGGATAACAAAGCAGAGAACTCCCTCCTGGACCTGACATGTGAATTAACCACTTGACTCAAACTTCATTCATGTTTCTGACTCACCTGTTGTTCCAAATACTGCGGAAGAGGTCCAGGGCTTCCCGTAGCCTGTTGGTGTTATTGTCTTCCCTTATTACCATGTTGTAGCTGCTGCTGGCCACCACGAAGATGATAGCAGTGACGTCTAGAAGGAGAGGAGAGGAGAGGAACTACATCAGGACAGCTCTCTGACATCACACCAAAAAAATAAGAGGTGACGGGATGATTCAGCTGGTAAAGAATACTTTAAGATAGGTGAGCTGTGATAGGAGGAGAACGTGCGTTTGGTCAAGGACGTGCAGCGCAGCTATTTGAAGAAGAACAGGAACAAAAAGTCTCACCGTTAAAGCACTGGATCCATTTTCTCCTTTCATCTCTCTGGCCCCCAACATCAAACATGCTACGGAGGAGACAGAAATACTGGGTCAGACTCAGACACAACAACACACTCGCTGCTGCCCTCTTTTATCAAAGAGTGCATATTTCTATTGGGACATCAGGTACATATTGTGCTGCAGTTGGCTGGCCCGAGAACGATTACACCCCAGTTTTAGTTTTGATGACTGTTCACATAAGAATTTTTTTTTTTTTTTCTAATCATGACAAAAGGTTTTCTGTTACTGATCTCAGGTCTGGCTTGCAAAAGGCAATCCTAAATCTTAAAGGGATACAGCTGGATACATGAATAATCAATTAATGAACAGATAACATAAAGAGCAGCATTATTTGCACATACTCAGTACCCTGTGTGACCCTGGCTGGATGTTTAGAAGTCATCAAAGCTGAATAATGGAAAAAATGCACACCCAAAGGGAAGTCACATCCCAGGGCCTTTGTATCAATCATTCGGGATGATATAATTTGATACAAAGGCCCGTTTCAGATGGTAGAATAAGTCTGTTGTGTCTGCGACTGCGGAAATAGGTCATCTCATCTGACATCATCTACACAGTTACGAAACATTTACTTTAACTTTTATTGGCTGCTCTTGTAACTGCAACCAATGGTCAAAAACTCCAAAATCACAGCGGTCGACCGCAGAGGATTCACTTTGCATTTTAGGCACTTCAGTGACGCTCTTATCTACCTCAGCTCGAAGCCGCAGAGCAGGTCGGGGCTTCAGTGTTTTGTTCATTATTGTTACGGGGTATGAACTTATGACGTTTCACGAGGCCAGGGCAAATATAGAGGCACAACCCAAGAGTGAATTCTTAAGTGAGATTATTGGTACAACAGTAATTCTAAAAAACAGGCACAGTTAAATGTTTATGAAAGGCGTAAGGTCAACAAGTTTTCACACTGACTGGAAAAACGCCTGGAGAGCCTCCTTCACAGGAATGGGAGACAGAGTTAGGAGAAGCTGGTGCTTATGAAAGGAAGTGGACGTGTTTGAAGATATTTAAGATTTCTTTTATAAAAATTTCTTTACTCCTTTGTATAGTTTATGCCTAACTTAGTGTCTTTGCATTTTTGTAGACCCCTCTTTGTTCTGTCTTTGGCTGCCTGGCACTGGGATGTTTTGGATGTTCCATGTTTGGAAATATGCTTTTTTTTCTGATTTACAGTGCAGATGGGAAATTTTTAGAGGGGGCACCTGTATGATTTATGTAGGAAGTCTTTTGCGCAAATTAGTGAACATATAGAAGTTGCTAACAAGCTACTTGGCAAACATAAAATCAAATGTGATTTGTTTGAAAAATGTTGTGCAATGAAAAATAAACTATTAATCAACAACTTCATCAGCAAAGGGAAAACATGTCTTCATCATGTGTTTTATGTCCGAGTGAAAGCGGGCAAACACTTACTGAAAGTTGACTTTGTCTACTTGGAACCTCGTCTCGAAAATCCCTGAAGTTAACACTCGGCAGCGTAGCAGGTCCTGTCAAACAGGGAAATTAAGATGTACCCAGTTCAGTAAAAATTTAAGACAAGCAAGCTTTTGTTAGTGATTTGGAAACTATAAGCTGTGGGCAATAATGGGAGGACTGACCTGGTCCGTTGGTGTGTAGTCGTTCTGTCTTACAGAGTCAATTCTGTCCAGGAAACTGCAAACAAAGAAACAGAACAGATTTAGATTTTGCACTCAGGTCTAACTATTTTTATAGGGTTCAGGAACACTAAAGTTAGTGGGATTCCACTACAAAAAATTCATTCATCGTTAATGTGTATGAAAACTGGCAAATGAATCAGATTAGTCTCAATAAAAACTGATTTCTAAACCAAATAAACAAGAAACCAGAGCTCATTTTACAGAGAGACCCAGTGTCATTTCCAACAATCTGAACACAATCCTATTTATTCATTTCAACCCATCTATCAACTGCAATTTTCAAATATGACATCGTCACAACTGTTATATCATTCATTAAACCTTCTTCCTGTGCTGCATCAGTCCCAACAGTTGTTTAGATGTTCATGTGAGCTACACTGGATGCTGCAAACGGCGGCCGCCATGTCTGACTCCCTGTGGAGGCTCGGTAGCCCGGTGTTAGTGCAGCCGCTTGCCACAAGAGGGCAGGGCTGCTCAGTCTGGGCTATTTTGGTCTGTCTCTAGCCAGAGTGATTACATAAGGCGGTTATTGTGGAGGTTAGACAGCTTGCTGTTGCCATCTCTTCACTACTGAGAGAGCATGTGCAGCATCAGCGGCGGCGGCAGCAGCAGCAGCAGCAGCTGGGCCTCTCTGCAGCACAGCAGGCTCAGGACACTGAGGCTGGGGACACATGGTCACACGGGCCCCTGGATGGTCTGGCTCACACAATTAAAGGACTCCAACAATGCGGGTCTAAGGGCACAATGTATATACACTAAATAAAAAGCTCCATTGCGACACTGCTGTGGGAAAAGCACTATACATATAGGTTCTGAATATTTGAAACGGTTTAAATACTCATTGCACAGCACTGATACACTAAAGTTGCTGTCGTGTTATAGCTGTGTTATGTTATGGTAATTTTTTTTTTTTTTACTTGTATGCCCTCAATGTCAATTTTTTTTCCTGTGGTATTGAAAATGGTATCGATTATCGATATTTTTCACAATATTGCATCAAAGTTAAACATTTCTGTATCATAACACTACCATACAGGCATGTAACATAAATTAGGTTACATAATATAGCCGAAAAATATATTTTCCGAAACAGCCATTTAACATTCAGTATGTCTATCCAGACAATTAAAGCGGACCACACCAGAGCTCCAAATGAACCGGCCTTGAAAATTCTAGTGGTACTAATATGTTTGCCAGCATTAAAAGAACATAGTTATCCTTAAAAGTCACAGAATGCCATGATTGTGACAGCAATACTATTAAAGAACAATAATTCAAACTACTATGGAGAGAATGGTACAAATGAAAGGAAAGTAAAAGAGCAAGCTAAGAAGGTAAAGGTGCGTCAGGTATTTCTGTAGGAGAGGAGTTTCCATCCTAAAGCTGAAGTTGGTGACTGAATCCAGTCAGTATATAGGACAGAGATGTGGACCACACAGCCAACCTCACCATCCCTGAATGTTCTCCCCAAACTGTCTGTAGCTTCAGGATGTCACAAGACAGTCGACACGGCTACAAGAAACCTGATGTACATAAGATTAGTAAGTCGGGGTATTTGTACGGTTTGAGCCGGGGATGGTTGTCAGTTCATTTTCAATCCAGCCACTAAAAGTAGCACACCCAACACGCCCATGTAGAATTAAATAACCTAAAAATGAATAGTCTATTATTCATATGATTATGAAAGATAACGCCGCTCATGTGCTCTGACAACAATGTTTTCATCACACTGACTTTATTTCTGCCTCACACAGTGCACACAAAAGGAGAAGTGAGGCTATTTCTGAAAGGGCACTAGACTTTCACACACACAGAGTAGCTTCTACTGTATCACCAGACATAGCCGTGTGAAGCAAAGGAAGGGAGCATTACCAATGAATTACAATGATAAAATGTTGTGCAAAATGTTCTAAACATAGTCTTTATTGACCTGCTGAATCAGTTTTTACAATGTCACAAGAATGACAAATGCACGCCACAGGGTACTACAGGCTAAAGTGACATCTAAAAATTGCTTATTTATTATTTTAGTGCACGTTACACCATGTACTTATTAACCAGATGAGGTTTGTGTGTCAAGTCATCTCCCTGGCCTGATCAGAGGTCTAATCCAGTATGAAAAACTCCCACAGTTCTCCACACCTTGTCTTTAACTTACAAATTGACCTTTGGATGGTTGTTACTTTCTTTCTAAAGACCTTTAACACCTAAATCTGAAGCTTTGATACACCCTGAGGAGTTTATGTTACCACTTGTAGCACTGCAGAGCAATGTTTAAATGACAGGTGCTCATAATTTTAGATCTCATGTGCAATTGCAGGGGGTTCCCAAACTTTTTCCACATGTGGCCCCTTTAATACAAAGTTATACCTACTTTAACACAAAGTTATGTTTCCTTGCAACCCTTCGTCACCCTGTAGCTGCTCATACACAAGTTGTGAGATGTACAATCAAACCTTTTCTTATTTCTTAACTGGGGAATAATTTTCTTAAACACCCCTTGTGGGCTTCCCAAGACCCAAGTTAACATGATTTCTACTGACTATAGAGGGCAGTAACAACTATTGACAGCTGGTGGCGCACAGACAGGAAGTAATAGCTAAAAAAAAACATGAAGAAGAAGCTTAGCTGTAGATGTGAATAATGCAGGTTTCCAAAACATCTTCAAAAAGTTTTCATGAGGTCGAAAATAAACCCTAATCCAGTGAGTTCGACCTCACTGTATTAGGTCTAATTTTTATTTTATTTTAGTTTTTACCACTGATTAATCTGCTAATTATTTTCTCTATGAATCATTTAATCAATACACAGGGTGTCTACAGGTGTCAGACACTTAAATTAAATGCTTTTTAAGACCAAGTTCATTTTTAACCAAATTTAAACCTGGTTTTTGGACAGTTCATCGTTTTTTAATTCAAGGTAAGTAGTATGTAGTCTCGTGTAGAGGTAGGATTTATGTAGAAATATGCTTACATGTGAATTAGGTTAATCAACATTTTGCCACAAGGTAAGTGCAAGTATTAGGTTCAATGTTAAACTTACTTAAAGTCTTTTTCAGGACCTGCAGACACCCTAATATAAGATGTCAAAAACAAATAACAAATGTCCACCACATTTCCTGAAACCAAAGGTGGTGTCATCAAATTATGTCAGAAAAAATTTGAAGATACTCAACTTATTGTCACATTTCTTTTTTTTGCTTGAAAGAAAATAACTGAAATAATATTATTAATTCGATTACCAAAATAGTTACAAAAATAGCAAATTACTTTTCTGTCGATCGATCAATTAATCAACTTCTGTTTCAACTCTACACTAGATAAAGAGTGCATTTCAAACAAACAAACAAAAAAAAAAGACATTCATCATGTTGAAACAAGAGATGTCAACACAAATCTATAGTCAAACTCATCACATACAGAGATGTACATTGGTCAGAGAATCAAATTTAGCAATTTAGCAAATCACACAATTATCTATTTTTCAATTAGTGCTTCCCAGGAACCAAGACAAACACAGCCATTAATCTGCACTGTATCTGACAAGACACAACATACAGCAGAGTATCACACACACTTGTCTCCCCTGAGCAGACAGACACACACAAAAACATTCGAAAAACCTCCAAAAATCTCCAGCTTTTGCCCCATCACTGCAACAATGTGGGAGTATTTTTAGTCAGCCTTCCTTTCAGAAACCTAGCTAGGTTATAATTACTGAGCGCTTTGTGACTGCCATGTGACAGAAGTACTATTGCTAGAGCACTGGAGAGCCAAATATAGTCCTCGTACCCAGCAAGAGAAAAAGAACAAGGGTCCTGGATCCAGGGGGAAAAAAAAAAAAAACGCAGAAAAAGATAACATTGATTACCAAGTGGCCGTCCAGATAATGCCTTGTCAAAAGGTTTGGGTGCAGTTTTCAGAAACTACGGCCATTCTGGTCAAGCCCCACAAAGTAGACGAGCTGGGTTTCAGGTCCGGGAAGATCAGTGGTTTGTGTTTGGTTTCTTAAATTTCCTCCCAGAGCTGCTCTCTGCTGGCGTCAGGGATCGTTATGTGATGTGGTCATTTTGGCAAATTTGTGGATTTGAGGGATAACTGGCACCTAGTTTGCTCTTAGTATGTACTTTCACAGTAAATTATAGTTTATTATTTGTTATGAATTTGTCACCTTGTTTTTTTTTTTTTGTTTGTTTGTTTTTAACTTTAAAGCCTGTTCAAGACCATTAAACCACATTATTCCAGCTGTAACTTTGGATTTATCTTTTAGTGGTTCATGACAGTTTCTTTATTGGCAGGTTGAATTAAAAAAAAAGAAAGAAAACTCCACCACTATCTTGTCCATTACAGTCGCTCTCTTTCTGTCTGCGGGGCTGGGTTGTCTCTGTATTTAGCCAAAACACACTGTCCTGCGGGCCAGGCTGTGCTGCTATGTATAGGCTTTGTTGTGGACAGTATCACTTGACTTGGCCTGGTCTTCCTGTGTTGTTAGCCTCATCTTTCCATAAAACACTGACATAGGCATGAATACACACACACACACACACACACACACACACACACCAGTATGTTGAGGGATAGTTGATGCGTGTGTGTTTGTATGGGGGGGTCTCAGGTCACATGTTGCTGGCCATTGAGCAGAAAAGGGGGTAGAGGGAAGATGGTGGCAGTGGAGAGGCGGGGGCATTAAAACGCTTCACACCGGGGCTCGGGGACATGGGTCACCCAGCTCCACGGGGGATTCTCCCTGAACCAGAGCACTGACAGAAACTCTGGTACCATTAGATTGCTTTCGGAGAGCCACAGCAAACAAATAAACAAACAGGCCTAAATACAAATAAAGCTACAAACAGACTAACGTAGCCAAGAAGTGCACCAAACATTCAATTTTAAGCCAAAACAAACTGCTATGTATCTAGAGACAACACATGTCCATAAACACAGCCAGTTGTGAATATGCACAAAAGTACAAAGACACTGAAAAGTTGCAACAACG